GTTTTCTTTTTTTTTTTTTTTTTTTTTTTTTTTTTTTTCAAAGCCAACAACCGAGTGAAAGACTCTTTCTGCCATTAATGGGCTCTGCTAGGTTTCACCTTATCCAAAGCTGGTTTTCTATGGCTATTTTTGTTGTGGCAATTTGGTCACTTGAAAAAAAATTTAAAAAGAAGAGGGAGTTAGGTTCGTTCATTTTATTAATTTGAGTAAGAAACAGTTACGTTTAATTTTTGTATTATAATAAATTTTTTTTATATAAAATCACATATTAATTCGAATTAAATATTTAAATCAGTGAACTAAATTGATCTTTTTTTATCTGAAGAGTGCTTCACGTAATGGCAATACACCATAATTTCGCGTTCAAAGCAAGGGCCTTATTTAACTCTAGAGTGTGGCTGTTTGTAAAAGTCTGAGCATCCCACTTGTCAAGTAAATAAAACAGCGACCTGTTCTAGCAACTACATTTAGCAAAGCTCATTCGAAAAATAAAATCTATACTATACATCTAACAGAACGTTTGTTTCATGTATTTATTTCTAATTTTGAATTATTATTTATAATTATTTATAGTATTTTTTTCACAAAAAATATACATAAAATAAAAATAATTCTAAATCATAATTTTGAATCATAATTTTAAATTTATAAATCAAACGTCTACTAAGTGAGAATAAAATGATACATCTAAGTGAGAATCAAATGATACATCTAAGTGAGAATCAAAGGATACATCAAGTGAGAATCAAAGGATACATCTAAGTGAGAATCAATTTTTTTTTAGAGTGGCGTTTGGTTTTTTTTTTAGTTTGTCTTTTCCTTTTTCTTTTCTCCCATATATTTTATTATTCTATCTCTCAACATTTGATTTTTATATTTTTAAATATGTACTCTTATTTTACATATTATTTTTTCTTAATTATCCCGTTAAATTATTTATTTTTAAATATATCTTTATATGAACATTTTTTATTTGTGATCATCATAAATTTCAGCTCCAGTTACGAAACATTTCGCACAAATTATTTTTAAAATTTGTTTGTTCAATTTTTTTTAGATTTCTCTACGGTGAGACCCCCTAAAAAAATCAACCGATAGAACACTTTGTTTTGATCGGTTAAATTACTTTTTAAATAGTCAGGTTTACAGAGAGAATAGTTCTGTGCGACATGCTATAAATTTTTAATACAAATTTACATAAATTTGACAGTTAAAAACTTGATCAATGGTCAAAACAAGGTATTCTATTGGTGGTTTTCTAAAGGATCTCACCATGAAGATTTCATTATATTTATTTAGATCTTTTTTTTAATTTTTATTTTTAAGGACTTCCTTTGATAGTCTTTATAAAAATAGACTATTGATAATATTTTATTTTATATATTTTACATATTTTTTTAATTAAATATAATTTTAATCAAATTTAATAGTCAAAAACCGAGATTACGGACGGATTAGTGAAGAAACTCTCATATTTTTATACTTCTTTTATCCCCCTTTTTTTTTCCCTGACCAATTAAACCCTTGCGCTTATATGTACGTGAGGTTCAGGCCTTGGTCGTCTGCTTCACAAACCTAAGAGCTCCACAATTGTCACCGACTCGCCCTTATCAACGCTCTGCAACACGCAACTCATGGCTTCCAAGAAGACCGACCACAATCCTCTCTCCGGCGACGGCGCTAGCCCCGGGTTCTCTCTCCTCTCCTTTTCTCTCTTTTAGGGTTAGAACCTCACCATCTCTCTCTGCAAACACAAATCGCTAATGGTTTCCTTTTTTTCCTTTTTTTATTATGTGCAGAAAGATCTTTATCGGAGGTTTGGCCAAAGATACCACCTTAGGTTAGAAACCTTGCGTCAAAAAAGCCCTTTCGTTTTCTTTCTTTATTCCGTTATTTAATTTGGTTGATTATTCTTGTATTGTTCCCTGATATTGCGCTTTGTAGCTTTTCTTAATGATGATTCTTGTCTTCGATTTTCCATGAAAATTTTGATTTTTTTTTTAAAAATTTGTTGATTATGTGTGTAATTGTTGTTTTTTGGGACACAGATACGTTTGTGAAGTACTTTGAGGAGTACGGTGAGATCACAGACTCTGTCATAATGAAGGACCGGCAAACCGGTCGGCCGAGGGGATTCGGGTTCATCACCTATGCAGATCCTTCTGTTGTTGACCAGGTTATCAAAGAGACTCATGTCATCAATGGAAAACAGGTTAGGTTTTCTTAAATTTCTGTTTGTTGTGAAATCAATAGCAATGGAGATTGGGATATTTGGTTAAAAAATTCAATTAGGGATTTGTATTTTTATTCATGTCATCAATGGAAAACAGGTTAGGTTTTCTTAGATTTCTTTTTGTTGTGAAATCAATAGTAATGGAGATTGGGATACTTGGTTAAAAAAATTCAATTAGGGATTTGTATTTTTATCCAAAAAAAAAAAAAAAGGGATCTGTATTATTAGGGTAGTTTCCAATTACCAACTTTCCTTATTTAATTTTGGCTTTGGTCTCCTAATTTGTAATTTGGTTTTGCCACTTTGCCTATAATTAAATATGCTAGTTTTTGCTAATCAATTCAGCGAATAGGTAGTGAATAAAGATTGAGATTTCTAGTATTCCTCCTTTTGAGTAGATGTTTTCTCTCCAGAATCTCCTGTTTGTTTAATAGTTATATTTTTCTATCTTGGCTCCATTCTTTTATCTGGATTCTACTTTTCTATGTTTATCCTACAATGACAAGTTCATCGTGAATGGTTGAGCAATATTTTATAAAGAGTAGTGCTAGGGACACCCACTCTAATTCCAACTCTTGTGTACCAATTGATGTAAAAATGATAACCCACACATGTCACATCAGTTGGTACATAAGAGTTGGGATTTAAGTTGGTGTCTCTAGCATTATTCTTTTTTAAATTATTTAAAACTATTGAAAAGAAAGTTGAACAGGAAGAGTAACGTGGTTTCTATCTATTTGTTTGTTGTTTTTAGATATGTTTAAGAAAATTGGCATAGTTATTTTTTTTTTTAAAGGATGAATATCATTGTTTCTCCATGTGCTTAATAGGCTTATGCTGTTTCTTCAAATTTCCTGCAAAAATAAATCTAGTGCTTGAAGTTTTCCCTTTAATTCTTGTGCATAAAATCTAAACGGTATTTGATTTTTTTTTTCCCCCTATGATTCGTGTTCAAGCAGGTTGAAATCAAAAGAACGATTCCAAAGGGTTCTCAGCAAGCTAATGACTTCAAAACGAAGAAAATTTTTGTTGGAGGCATTCCAACATCTGTTGCTGAAGGTGTGTTTCTTCCCCCTACTATTTTAACTTAATGGATATTCTCTAAGTTTTAACTGCTGTTATTTTACTCTTTTATTGATAGATGAGTTGAAGAATTTCTTCTCGAAGTACGGGAATGTGGTGGAACATGAGATCATACGTGACCATGCGACCAAAAAATCCCGAGGCTTTGGATTTGTTGTATTTGAAAGTGAAAAAGTTGTTGATAGTTTGCTGGTAAATGGAAATATGATTGATATGGGTGGTACTCAGGTAATTCCTTTGACAGGGTTTTTGATGTTGTTGGGTGTACGTGGACATAATTCTACTTTGTATAAAGATGCAAATACAGGTTTTACTTTAAAATGGTTTCTAGGTGGAAATCCTCCTCAAGTCCACAAGACAGGTACTAAAAAAAGTACGTGCTTATGAGAAACCTAGGTTGACTTACTTCTTTGTTGTAGGTTGAGATCAAGAAAGCTGAACCAAAGAAGGCCTCAAACCCTGCACCAGTTTCTGCATTTCGTAGTGATTCTAGGGCACGCCCATACAATGATAGTTTCAGTGCACATGGCAACCTCTATAGTGGTTTTGGCCCTGATCCTTTTGGCCCTACCTCCTATAGGTCATTTGGAGGTTTTGGCAGTAGGTTTGGTGATTATGGAGGAGGGTATGGCAATGATAATGATTTTGATGGTAGTGTTGGTGGCGGTGGTGGTTTCTCTGGTTATCGGAGAGAGTCTTCTTATGGCTATTCTAGTCGCTTTGGTTCCTATGGAGGGCTTGGTGGGGGCTATGGTGCAGATGGCTTAGGTGGATTTGGGCAAGGAAGCGGAGGCTATGGAGGTAGTGGAGGATATGGAAGTTATGGCAGTTCAGGCCCTGGTGGTGTCTATGGTTCAGGTCCTGGTGCTAGTTATGATGGAACAGGAGGATTCTATGGTAGTAGAGCAGGTTACAGTGGTGGTAGTCGTTACCATCCTTATGCAAAGTAGGTATATGTTTAAGTGTTCCGTAGAAGATGCATGCAGGTTTCCTAGTCAGCAGTCTATGCATCTTGGGTAGGTACTACGACAAGTGAGCCCGAATTACGAGGATCAGATGAATCATTGAGTTTGCCTGGTTGACAAATTAGACAAGTTCAAATTTAGTTCAGCTTCAGCTTAGAGCTCCTTCGTTGGCAGTTTGTTTTATGACCTTGATTGTCATTCTATTAAACTTAGACACTTGTTGTTATCGACTAGTTTTAGAACCTATTTAGAATTTTTTACTAATTCTATCTAGTATTCTTTAGTCCCGGTAGAGATGGTTTAGTTTTCTTCGTTTGACATCTAGTTACACGTTTGCAGTTGAAATCTCATTAGTTTTTAGAAAAGTTTAAAGAAATCACACTTTATGTTAAAAGTATAGTTCCAATTTCCACGTGCACACGCTTTCCTTGCTAGCGAGGAAAGGAGGACAAGTTTACAATTTAGTCTTATTCAGGATTTTAGTCTGGGATTCTCACTCAGGATTTTTTGTTAGCCAACAAAAGTTTTTGAAGAAATCAATTCATTAAAACACCTATCTAGTATCTGCGCCTCAAATTTACCTTTCTTTTCCCAAGTTTTTAATCTGGTAACCTCGAAATTTTTATCCATTGATGCGCGAGATTTTTTTGCCATCCAAACTTGATTAACAGTGTCCCTAGTGTTTCTTTCCTCTAATGAAATTTTAGAATAAGATTTTG